GAAAGGAGCCATTAATTAGACAACAAATTTTTCAGAGCAATTTTAATATAACATTTGTGCATACCTCGACTGGTGTAATTCATGTCAAAATAAACCTGCATCTTGACTGTATCCAAAGATGGAGATTGTGAGTCCAACAGTCTATCTACACACAACTATTACCAAAACAAATATGTTGCAATATATCAGTGAAGACTGAGATACACCAAGGCATGGACACTTGTCCAAAATAGCAGCTAAAAATTAAAACGCACCATTGATAATGATGCACAAATTTTCTATTAATTAAAAAGAACTTTGACACTCTCCAACATTTGGAAAAGGGTATATGGAAAAGATCTGATGAGAATTTCTTGTGATTTTTCTAATCCCAGATTTATAAAATTTACACCATAAACATCAGTGATAAGATAAGAAAAAGAGCAAACCAGAGCACTTTAACCACAAGCTAAACTATTATATGTAGACAATACATTGTGATATTATCTTGTCGCCATCTTTTACCTACCATAATGAGTTTTTGTACATCATCTTTGGTCAAAGTTCTGTCCACGTTAAATTCATTGTCTGGATCTAAGACTACCGCTTTAACCTGGAATGAAAAAAAATACAATGTAATCAAGAATAGAAGGAAGCGTTTAACTCAACTGATTGGACAAAAAGGAAGTAAAACAGGGCCGATATTTTGTCAACATCAAAGTACCGACCATAAATGCTACGAGTGTTTCCGAAACTGCCTGCCCTTTGTTGGCGCATTCTTGAGCGATTTCGCGTATTATGTTCTTTATGACACTCTCAGCTTGTGCCCTCGACATTTTCTTAAATAGCTTTTCCCCTCAAATGATATCACAACATAAGTACTGTTGCTGATGAATCTAAAAACACTTTAGAGATCGACGGAAAATGCCGCCATGCAAAAGTTTTCAGAGGTGTCATGGTAACTAAATCCGCGAAATACTGGGGACTATTATTATGTGACACCACGATACACTATTGGTCAGCGGAAACTACTCAAAATTACATGCGCTACATAATGTTTACTTAGCACAAACGAGTAGCGCTCTGGGATCGATAATACGTGAACAACATGGCTGATCTTGCAAAAGGACAGGAAAATTTTGATTTTTCGTCTTCAGCAGCGTCTCCTAAAGATTCAGACACCGAGGTCGTTATTCACAGAGATGTTTTAGACTCATGGTCGAATCCAGATGATAGAATCAGTACGGAATTGGAGAAGAAAACCGAACATGGCTTCGAAAATTTGGTTAATACCTTGAGTGTTGAAGAACAGGATCACATAGAGTCTGTCGAATATGCTGCTGGTGTTGATGAAAAATACGAGAATAAGGAAGGGATTGTTAAGAGAGTGTTGTTAGATTTCGAGGAAGGAGTTCAACATGAAGATACGATAACATCAGTAGGATTTGACAATGATGAGAAGACACAAGAGATAGAATTCAGACACAGATTTTCACAACAAGAAGAACAGCAGTACCAAGCACAACAAAAACAACTACAACGACAAGAGAGGGTGGGCTATTCGAATGAAGACACTAGAATACCAAAAAGTAACTTTCAATCCTTAAAAACAATGGAATCAGAAATGCGATCATACCAAAAAGACCCGCATGGAGATGTTCCACAAATCACGAAAGCTTCCTCAGAGGAGAAACTTCATGATGGTTTGAAAAGTAAGTCTTCAGCATCTAATTATTTCTCAAGCTGATTCTCTAAGAATATGAAAGAAATTTCAAAATATCTACATTTTGATTTCAGAGCTGTCATTCATGAGGTACTTCACAGCAGAAGTTTTCAGTGGAAAGCTGATGGAGCTTGAAGAAGAGAAATACACTGAAAGACGCCAGAAAGTGTACACGTTCATGAAGATTCCAAGGGAATTTGAGAAGGTAA